GGCCTCCTTACAAACAGTTTTTAAACAAGACAAAAACTTATAATATAAAGAAGAAAATCGATTTGTAAAGATATAAATTTAGATAAAATTCTAATGAATAAGGCATCTATGCTATCTGGAATCTAGCCTATCTTTAAAAGAAAACCATATTATCATCCAACAAGTAAAAACTGAAATCATTACTGGAAAACAACATAGAAAGAAAGAGCATCGGGTAAGAGGGCTATAAAGCCACAAAACATAATTGAAGGGTCTAGAAATCTGAGAGATCTAACAATGTAATACAGAAAAGAAAGAGTAAGATACAACCATTTGGCCAGAGAAAAATTTAAATTAAAAATTGACCAAGAAAATAAAATATATTACCTAAATTCGATTTGTTATAACTTGTAATTGTAATAAAGTGATCACACAATGGAATGGTTAATTGAGTTTAGGTGCACTTTCTTTGCCAGACCTAGAAACTCTCCAGGGCTGAGTCCGGGCTTGGTGAGATTCTGAAGGGCTCATTTATTCCTTCAACTGTCTTCACCTGTTTTATTGAATGGTCAAAAACATCAATTCAGTTTCTAGTTGAAGAAGGACTTTGAACCTTGTGAGTTCTTATATTGTCTGAAAAGGACAGCCAATTATGCTGGCAGATTTAAAAACAATTGTCCCATTCAAGATACGAAAGCAAGGTATTACAAACTAAAAGCTAAGCAGGCTTTCAGCTATCAGTGTTGTACTTGGGCAGATATCTCTCTCTCTCTCTCTCTCTCTCTCTTGTCTAGGACGTCTAACTGGACATTCATCAGAGGTAAGCCAAGTATTAACAGCACACTAATCCTTGATTTTTCCAGAACTTAATAATAAAAGTAGAATCTGCTCCATCAGACAAAACATTCATCATAAATTTTGTAACATATTTTCTTCTCCTCATGCATTTTCTGTTCCTTCAATCAAAGGACAAAAATGTATTCATCTCAACCTCATTCCTATCAATCCTTGAAAAGCTAAAATGGACATCAACATTTAGAAACAAACTTGCAATCATACTACTACTATTTGTCATCACTGGGGAAACAGAAAAGCCAAAATTTTACAAGCAGCCACTTTTGGTTCTCCATTTGATGGTTCTCATCTACGGATTAAGATGACCAATTTACCAAATCCTGACAGGGGAAACGCTCCCACATCTGACGGGAAGTCCCTGTCCTGACTCGGAGGGTTGATGTAAGCCAACATGCCCCACCCAAGATTTCTCCTCAAAATACATATTTTTATAATTTTTTTTACATTAATATGTAAAAAATAGGGAGACATGAGCAATTTCCTATATATTTAATTCATGCTTCCTTGTTAATTATAACCAATAAAAGTAAAAAATTCATCTTACATTCCTTATGACAATTACTTAGGAATAATTAATTCTATATATAAAATAAAAATGGTTAATAAACCACTTCTTGCCTCACACTTGGTTACTTCTCCTAACTAGCCACTCCAGGATTTCCCAACAGGGCACCCCAAATGGCAATGGCCAACCACCTCGTCCATTGTCCTTTTTGAGAACTTTTGGTCATGGATGTATTGATTTAATTTCTTGAATTTAGGACTATTATACGGCTTTTACATAGTTTTCACATCTTTTTTTCAAGGAAGATTATCAAGAGTTTGTTAATTTCAGAATGTGACAAGGAGCATATCAAAAGACTTGTAGTTTCAATTTTTCATTATACAGTTTTAGAAACTATTAAACATCAAAACTTTAAATGATTTTTGTTGCTTCATGTTATATATGGAAAATTCAATCTTTTTGGCATCCTGTTTCTTAAGAGATTTTATTGGAGAAGTTTTGATATGCATTATTGGGACCAAAAATTCCTGAATAGCTTAACCTTTTCGGGTCTAGCAAGAAGCTAAGGGTACAGATTAATGATCTTTCTGAAGGATCTTGGTTCCCAAACCTTGATACCCATTATTCAATGAAAAATTGAAGTAGGCTCTGTTCTTCTATTTCAGAATTTCATTGATGTCTTGATTTGGAACATTTGCATAGAAATTTTGCTTCACTTTGCAACATGCAGGTATTGGACCCCTAACATGTTTGAAAGGCAATGTTAAAGTATGAAAACCAAATACACATGTTTGCACTGTTTCTGATATGATAGCTCTAGCATTTTCGAAGCTGTTCGTAAACTAATATCTATAGCAAGTTCAAGAAATTTTATCTACCCAATATCTTCATCGCCTCAAATCTAATACCCACACTTGATAAAAAAAGAGGTAAAATAATAACAGAATCTAATAACCTATCACTGCTTGATCCGGAGAATTGCATCAAGAATAAATGATAGAATTATAGTTGACTGAGATTTTATATTGCCATTTTTCTTTGGAATTCCACTTATCTCCCCACCATCAAGAAAGATACAATAAGTGTTCCTGGAGGCACCACTGCAGAAAGAGAAAGAACAAAGATATTTAGTCATGGATATCAGACCATTTAGATCAGTGTCTGTAATTTTGTGAAATTCTGGCCAAATAATGAAACTACTAATATGACCCAAAATTTTTTGAACGTATTCTCTATTACTAAGAAACTACATATGTTAATCAACAAACAGTTAATTGTCAACAGGATAGAAGAAATGGTGTAGCTTTTAAAAGATTTGAGTGCTTAAATAATAATGAAAACAAAGTAGTAGATAGTGGGATTCTTTACAGCTAATAAAGCAGAGAAAATGGGGAAACATAAAAAAACTCAGAAAGAGGAAGTAGTTTGGAAGCCTGCTCAGTTGGATAGAAGAACCAATTAAGAGAGGGTCCCAGACACCTCTCTCTTGTGTTGAATCTTATAGCATCAGTATGCACTCATACATAGTTTTGATGCTATCCAGTATTGCATCGATAAATGTTAGGAGGAACATATGTTATCATCACAGCTGGGCTTTTTCGCGCTTACTATTGCCACTGAATCAATAAATTTTTGAAGCTCTTGAAGGAGCAAACCTAATTATTTGATTATAGTATACAAAATCACGTGTTAATTTTCTAAATTGCTGCGACTGTATGGATTTTAGGTGTTCTTCAGATTACTGGGCCCCTTTAATTTTGTGTTCCAGTATATGTGAAAATATCAAGTTCCCTTCCTAGAAGACCAATTTTGTTTTTGTAAATCAGATTTATTAATTTGCTGCTTCTCTCATTGAAAATTATGGGACAAGCCAATGAATCAACAATTCTAATTTATTCTTGCAAATAAAAATACAAATGCCAAGGTGAAGCTATGAGATAGAAAAGCATTGTTAACCAACGTACCCTCTTTGGTCCAAGCATCACCTTCTCCAGAACTTAAGAATACTGCCAGTCTTGTGCCGACTCAGGAGGGAACTTTTGACTTTGATATTTTTCTTAACACGAATAACGCCCTTTCACCAGAGCATTTTTCGACAGTATTCAGAAATGACTTCACCTTCCCCACCACATTTGGGACATACAGGAAGAACCATAATATACATAAAGGATGGTTATAAGTACCAACACGCTTCATGGGGTCAAAAGTTGTCAACAGGGGACCAAGCAGACAAGAAAAATGAATCAAATTTAATAACTTTAGAATTTGTCACCCAAATTTTGTCCATATAAAACATGGGCATCTATCATGTACAAAGAAACAAAAGGTCTGAAACAAACGTCCAGTACATGTCAGCTTTTTTTGATGGCTTATTATATGATAGATGTATGTCTTCTCCTTAATGCTTCCCTTAATTAATATCTTTGGATGAATTTCTGTGAGCCGATATGACAGGAATTGGAGATTCCCTTATTATTATTTTTCTTCTTTAGGCTTGTGTTGTTTTGGTTCTATGCATAAGGCATTTCTGCTCATCCTTTCTTTAATCTTTCTTTTACACATAGAATATAATAACTTTTTCATTCAAAACTTTTATACCCTATTTATCACTTTATTTCAAATCATTGTTCAATTCCACATGGGAACAAACTTTTAACGCCATTTCACACAGGAAAAAAAATTCCAACTGAATTATTTACACTGCTTATTCCTTGCTATTGTTGAAACCATTTTTGCCAAATTGTCTTGCCGTAGCAACCTTACTGCACATAATACCATATTTCCTATTTTTGTCTAATTTACTCCGGAATCCTTCAGTTTTTCACCTTTCAGGTAAAAGACCTTTGCAAAATTGTTCTCTTAATTCCAAAAGATCTTATATACTCAACAGCTTTGTGTTAAAATCCTTAAAGCAACTTCCACAATAGCTTTTTAAAATTTTTTTACACACTAGAAACATTCAAATTTTAACTTAAGCATTTGACAAAGATATTGAAGAAATTGCCCAATTACAGAAATATAAGAAAAAGTCCTTATTTTCATGCATAGTCTTTTGGGCTGTGGTACCACACAATATACCAGCACTGGAAAAGGAAAAAAGACGAGTGGGAGTGGGGAACCCCTAACATACCTGTGAGAACAAGCCAATGGTGTTTGCTCAGGTTCTCCATTACTTGACCCCTACCACCAACAAGTGAGGCGATATCCTCATCTTGGAGCCTAATCTTTAGCTCCCAGTACCAGTACCAAAACTTTCCAAGTTTCAAATTGAGAAAGCTCTCAAATTCCTTTTCAGCCTCCCAAAGATAGACTCTGAAAATTTCTAAATGACTGTTCATAAACTTGCAAAAACCATCAAATAGTTCAATGAAGTATAATTTCAAGGCAACAATTCCAGTACAAAAATTAGAATAGTCCAAAAAATGCAGGAAATGATGATGACTTCTTTGATTCCTATATGTAAACATGGCTTGTTTCCGCTCCGAATGATAACTTTTATGACCAAAGCCAAGACAATTAATAACATACTAATAAATTAGAAATTAGCATTGTATCTTTTCATTTTTTTTTTTTTTTTTTTTTTTGACAATTAATAGCACATACCTAAAAAATTTCAATTGTAAATCAAACCCAAACATATTATATAAGTTCCCAGTTTGTATTTTTTTTTTTTTTTTTTTTTTTTTTTTTTGACAATTAAATAGCACATACCTTAAAAATCAATGTATCAAACCAACATATTATAAAGTCCAGTTGTATAGATCACCTATCTGTGTCTGCAAATTTGCATTACACATGCATACAAGTTTTCCCACACAGAGAACAGAACATATATCGACTACAACATGGAAATGCAAATGAGGAGAATATCAAATATAGAAGTGTATAAAGCATGTAAGAGAAAAGGAAATAGAAAGGAAAGGAATGTTTGAATTCAATATCAAACTTATAACCATCTATCAACAAACATAAATATATAGTCACAACATTTCATACCTTTATTGAAGGTGTGTTGGCGCATCATAGCTAATCAAATTTATCAATAAGCAAACCGGACAACAATACTGGTAAAGTTAAATTATCAGACTACATAAGGCCAACTAAATCCAATTAATATCCTCATATTAACTGGTGCTATAAGATGAGGTGAGACACCATCCATTGGGTAAAACTTAATCATAACTCACCGTAAGTCTTCACCCTTAGTAATGGTACTACGACGGCTAGTCCTGAACCCAGTTTCCATGCCAGGAAAGCCACCCATGCTTGGCCCAAAGAATGTCTCAAATAGATCAAAAGGATTAGTCTGCAGAAGAAAAGCAATTTGTAAGTTCTACTAAATTTTACATGCATGTTGGCACTCTGTGCCATCTGAATCAGATGAAGAGTAAAAAGTAGGAACGTGTTAATTGAGGGTGACACAATCAAATGCAAGACACAAGCATACAACCTCATTTCTATAAATTTAACAACAAAATTCACTAAAAAGCAACAAAAAAAAAAAATTTCTATAGTATATGACATGGTAAGGAAGACATAGAAGCATGTCCTATTAAGCACTGGCAGGACCAGCCATAACCATACACGATCTTTGAGGGACAAACTACATGGCATACCAAATATCAGAGATTGGTAAGCCTCCTGTAATAGTTCACACAAGACAAAGTTTAATAAATGGTTCAGCAACAAAAACCACACGGAGGCCACTCAGCACCAGGAGCACTCTACTAATATGCACTGCATGACACACTGATGATCTAACCAACAAGCTACCTGGTCAACTAGTTCATATCAGTTTTTCCCTGGATATGAAACAGGAGGTAGGAGAGGAAAGAAGAGTATATAACAGAATGCAGTACCGTATAAGCACTTGATGAACCACCTACTGTACTTTTAACTCCAGCTTCACCATACTGATCATACAGAGCCCTCTTTTTATCATCTGATAGCACCTGACAGTGAAGTACTTCAGGATTCAAAAGACAATATGACAAATGCAAAACCTTTAACAGCAAAAACGCAATTCAAGCAATCAAGCAAAAAATTGTGGAAGTGAAATAATCACATGCAGCATGCTTAGAGGATTACAATTCCAGCAATCCATATAATATACATCCCAAACAAGTGCAACATTTTGATGCTTGAATATAGACAACAAGTCCCAATAATATGCAAGCCACATAATCCATAAAGCTATACAAAATCAGAGATGCCACATCACAAAGTATGCTATATTGTCATCAACAAGTTCAAAATTAGCACAATATGAGTTCAAAATTATAATGCATACCTCATAAGCAGCACTTATCTCCTTGAACTTTTCAGTTGCTCCAGGTTCCTTGTTAACATCTGGGTGGTACTGGAATCACAATAGAAACCGAAATGTCAGGATTCTAGACACAAGAAAAGCAAAAAAATACGATTCATAACACATCAAGAAACATCCCAATTCCCAATTCCCAAATAAAACAGACACCGGATTGATAAGCCACAAAAATATCCCATTAAAAATTCAGATTTCTTCTCAACAAACAAATAAATCAAGAACAAAACAATAAAAAAAGTAAATAAACCCAAAAAAACATAAACAAATATATACTACCTGGCGAGCTAACCTTCGATAAGCGGCCTTGATTTCTTTAATATTAGCAGCTTTTGAAACTCCAAGAGTAGCATAGTAATCCCCAGAAGCACTGACAAAGGGTCTAAAACGATTCGTTGAGTTGGTCCTGAACTTAACAGAAGCAGGAGATAAATAGGTTAAAGAAACAGAAGCAAATTTCTTATGAGACCATAAGTGGGTGCCACCGGTTAAGAATGATGAAGAAGTAGAAGCATTAGAGTTAGAAGAGGAAGTGAATCCTAAAGATGGAACGAGAGAGAGAGCTGTTGCAGTTGCAGTGGCCGTGGCAGTGGCAGTGGCGCTGGTGGCCATTGGAGAGATTTTTTTATTAAAGGAATTCTGGGTTTTTAAGATAAGTGTATGAATTTATTGTTATCCATCATCGTTCTTTGATCTGGTTGCAAAAGAGAGCTAAATATTGAAACTTTGAGCGAGCGTTTATATGGTGAAATGAGGGCGACGAGGGAAGGAAGTAAGAACCAAACAGAGACGGGATTGCGTTTGTGGTCAGTGTAACGTTTTGTATGCTGCAATACACGTGCTAAATTTTTAGAGAACAGGAACCCTTGGCCTTTTACATTTTCCTCTCCTTCTAAAATTATATTCCCTCCCTCTAAGAAAACACTACACAGATTAAAAAATATAATTAAAGAATAATTTTATTCATATAAGTTTTTATTATAATTATTTTAAAAAATATATGAGCAATTATTATATTGAAATAATAAGTAAAAGTTAGTGAAAATTATTAAAAATAAGTAAAATTGAATAAAGGTATAGTAGACAATTTAATGTTTAATTATAATAAAAAAAAATAAATTACATTTTAGAACAAACAAATAAAGAAATATGAACTATCTTTTTTAGGACAGAGGATGTAGTATAATAAAAGATAATAAAATAAAGTACATTTTCGTGTAAAAGTTAATTAAAAGGAGAAAAGTGTTGAGAAATATTTTCTTACCTAAAAAAGTTTGTCTAATGTTATAAAATTTATGTATTTTGTTATATTTTCATTCTCAGTTGATTGTTGATTATTTGTTTATCCTTCTTAAAATCATTAGAACAATGAGAGTGATAACGTTTTAGATTTGTTCTTAACTTTTTAGCATTCTGAAATTATCTTTTTTTTTTTACCTTTAACTTCCACCTTTTATAATCCATCATAATGCATATTTTGCCCAGCAATTAATTTAAGTTTTAACAATATATTTTTCAAATATAAAACTTTCTATAATTTTAAGTATTTTATAATCTTACATATTAAAAAAAATTTGATATTTTTTTTAAAAAAATTTAAATATTACAATCAAGAACAAAAATGAGTTACTTAAATAACATTTTTCAAAGACATTATTTTCTACAAATAAACAAAGCTCGAGATAAATAAGATTTTGATAGGAAACTCTTGCTGGACAACTAAAAGGAATCTACTCTTGATGCCCAGCATCATCTCAACTCACCTTTTATTTTTACCATCCCTTCTCAAAAATGCTTTGCCCACAGAGGGAGAACTTATGGCCACAAGGGTTTATCACAAGCGTGAAATTGGAACCCTCCAATTTGCATTATGAAGGAAGAGTGCTCAATTTACACAAAATTAACAAATCTTGAAACCAATTACTAATTCATCAATAAAATTTCTCTATCAAAACATTTCTCCCAAAAAAAAAAAAAAAAGCTCTATCAAAACATTTCTCCCAAAAAAAAAAAAAAAAAAGTATCTCAACACTCTTCCATTTAAGAAAAATTTCCAAAAGAAGAAGACCCAACAACAAATTAAAATCATAAGATTTTCCATTCTTCCTTAAATTTCCAATCAATAAAGACACAAACATAACTCACGTAAGCAAGCCACAATCTTCTCCATCTACACAAAACCAGCACCTTATGTTCTTCAGGGGAACGTAATTGCTGACACATTTCAAGAATCTTTCAGGAAAGGAAAAATCAACAAGAGTTACATGATAAAAGAGACTGTAAGATACCAAGATATACCATACTGTGTCGTAATTTGCTGCAAAATAACTTAAAAGAATAAATCATTTGAAAATTCTTTTTTTTTTTTTTGTTAAAAGCCATCTCCCAAGTTAGTGGCTTTCTATCCATTGAATTGGAGGACATACATGGCAAAAATTCCGATATGGTTAACGTGCACAAAACTATGGGCAAACTCAGCACTAAATACCCACGTAATGTTGTTATGTAATTTTCCTAGACCTTATCTTCATAATAAATTCAATCTTAAATTAGACATCAAGGATTCGGAATCGTCCTGGGATAGGGGGCTCTTTGCTGGGCCTTCTCAATAGCATCATCAATGCATAGTTATTCATCACTGGCAAGCCCAAAAAAAAAAAAAAAAGTCTCTCAACACTCTTCCATTTAAGAAAATTTCAAAAGAGAAGACCAACAACAATTAAAATCAATAAGATTTTCCATTCTTTCTTAATATTCCAATCATATAAAGAACAAACATAACTCAACGTAAAGCAGCCACAATCTTCTCCATTACACAAAACATGCACCTTATGTTCTTCAGGGGAACGTAATTGCTGACACATTTCCAGAATCTTTCAGGAAAGGAAAAATCAACAAGAGTTACATGATAAAAGAGACTGTAAGATACAAGATATACCATACTGTGTCGTAATTTGCTGCAAAAATAACTTAAAAGATAAATCATTTGAAAATTCTTTTTTGTTAAAAGCCACTCCAAGTTAGTGGCTTGTCATATCCATTGAATTGGAGGACATACATGGCAAATTCGATATGGTTAACGTGCACAAACTATGGCAAACTCAGCACTAAACCCACGTAATGTTGTTATGTATTTCTAGACTTATCTTCATAATAAATTCAAATCTTAATTAAAAGACATCAGGATTGAATCGTCCTGGGATAGGGCTGCTTTGCTGGGCCTGTCTCAAATGCATCATCAATGCATAGTTATTCATCTGGCAGCACAACCATGAAAGGAAAGATTTGTTAGGATGTGCAAAAAATGAATTGCATTTTTATTTTGCACATTATGTAAACTAATAAACTATGCCGTTCTTCCCCTTTTCGCTTCCATTAGAACATCAATTTGTAGCCTAGAAACAGGAAACAACAAAGGTAAAGAGTAGGAGAAAACTATTATTACCTCAAGAGTTTTCAACTTTTCTTGATATTGAGATATCACCTGCTGCAACTCTCTATTTTTATCCTCAAACTCTTTCTGACGTTCATGCTGGATTGACACAGCTCTTTTGAGTATGGTATTCTCTCGGACCACTACTTCAACATGCTCTTTTAGCATTGTGTTTTCCTGAGAAAGAGAAGCCATAATTGCAGGTGTGTAAAAAGGTATGTTCTATAACCGTACTTAAAAGGATAAATCAACTTCTAAAAATGAGCTTGTCAGCTTTCTCAAAGTGTGTTCTATTTTAATTTTTTCTAATTCATTGTGCTAAATTCAATTAGAATTCCCAACATAGAAACTCCTTTTGCTCATATTCATTAACATACCATAGGAAGCTTTCCTGTTAGCTCATTAGAAATACAATGGATTTCATCTTTAACTTCCTCCAAAAAGAAGAGGGACTGCTATCATGTCATTTTATTCTAATATCCATTCCACAGCAAAGATGAGACGGCATGCATCTCATTATACATGGTCAATGCTGCTCCAGAAAAAAAGAAAAGAAAAGACTCATTCCACCCTATTTCCATTTTGGTGAGGTTTTGCACTGATTAGATAGGCCCCTAGGTAGATGAAATGTTTGTTTGACCATTTCTAGATGCTATAAAGCATGTTTGAGGGTGTCCAAGTCCCCAGTTCTAGGACATGCATAAGAGGGACAATGTCACAATAGGTACTCTTGGAAAAACAAAGAATTCACTCGATGTAAGAAATGTAAGCTGCTTATATAGCATAAAGTTTCTAAGTGCTTCACATTACTCACATGTTGGAGGTGGTAAGAGACTTGGGAAGTTTGCGATGATTATTGACCTTAGATGGCATTATATTTTATGAACCAACTTCATCATCCTAATAATGTAGTGTCAACTACAGGGAATTCTGTCCATAAGGGAAAGGTATGTGTGCTACACATAAATAGATACCTTCTGAAAACTCTGAGCTGTCTCTTTGGCAGCATGCGAACTGATAGATTTCTCTAAAATCTCCAGCACCCTTGACGCACGGGCTCTGGCATCATCAACACTAGTAGCATTCATCATTTCCCTTACAAACAAGTCCACCCATTCTGCACCATCAGCAGGAAGGTTGCTTGGCGCTGATGTATTTTCAGAAGCAGCAGCATCCCCATCATTGGGCAATGTACCTGTCATATTTGGATGCAAACGTCAGATTCCTACTCCTTTAATTGACAGCAACAAAAGCATAAAATGAAGCAAGAAGCATCTGACACAATATGAAGTACAACTGTAAGCATCATATGCATGTACTTACTGCATCAATGATCTGCAGAACAAGTACATTACATTATCAGAAAGGGAAGGTAAAAGATTAGATGTTTTGAGGAGTTATAGCCATATACCCAGAAAAACAATGTAGGACAGGATTGGATACTAAAACTTAGGCTCAAGGCAAATTGGTTGAACAGGTTATCAAAGACTTGCTGCTAAAATCTCATATCATAGGCATGAATCTGCAATCAGAAAGCTAAAGTTGTGCACTAGAGTAGCAGCTACATAGGATATTTAAAGTAAATCATACACCCATTGTGCCAGTCCAGAGTAGTAATATTTTGACTTCAATAAGTTCTTAGTTATTTCAATATTTATACTATCAACATGGATTTATTGAAAGGCGATAGAATTTTCATCCACATTTGAACACACTAGTTGGTCGAGATAACAAAACAAACTCACATCTAAAACGTGAAAGATACCAAAACTTTCATACCCCAACATACATACAATCAAGGAAACTAAAAACTTGTGATGTGAATTCAATTCCTATTCATTGTTAGTCCGAGTCAATGCCAGATAAAAATATAACACCATTAAACCACAAAGCATATACACGGGAGAGAAAGGAGAGAGACGCTCCATTCAGACTGTTAGCATAGTTCACTATCTACTGCTAATAAAATACCGCACCTTGCTCCACATTTAGACCAGCTTCTTCAACGGAGGCTGAATTATGCTCTGCAGATTCCAGAGGGCGCTCATTTAAGATCTTGACAGCGGAATCCAAATCATTACCGCATTCTTCCAGCGCTCTTTCAAGAAGCTGAGAAATTCACCATAAAACAATTAACAATAGCTACTGTTGAAAAGGCAAAAACAAAAACAATAACAATAAAAGAAAATATCTTAGTCGAATTGCTATAAATAATAGCAATAAGTTTCAGTGGCACGCAACGAACTATTCAGAGAGAAATCGAAACCTGAGAATGAATGTGAGGAAAGATAGCTTTGAGATGGTGGACAGGGGAAAGAGAAGGAGGAGAAAAACGAACAGGAGATGTAGAAGAGGAGCTACAGCGAATCCTTTTGGAAACAGGAGGCGAAGGAACGTCTTCAAGAAAGAAAGATCTCTTGCTTCCACAAACTGCCGCTGACATTTTCTCAAGAATTCTAGGGTTTCCGCGCAGATTGATTGGGTCTGTTCGGCTGTTGTTTGATTTGAGTTTTGATTTTAATTTTGTAACTGTGATCGTGATGTGGGGTTTTGGTGTTGTTTATATAGTGGAGTCGGAGATGATGGTAAAGAAGTAAAGCGGTGGCTTTTTTAAAAGCACGAGATAGGCGCGTGGATTTGTTTCCGGGAATTTGGGTTTTTGAGTTACTGAAACGATGACGTATTTTAACGTCGCGACAAATCAATAGGCGAAATTCGGGACAGCGCAAGTGATTATCCAACCGGCTTGTTGGTAATGTCAAAGCTTATTTCTCCATTTTTTTTATTTTTATTACGATTTTTTTTTTTCATATTATTTTCCGGAAAAAACAATTTCTCAAATTTTCAATTTTATGAATTTTCCATTTTGTGAAGACAAATTTTTATCATCTTCTATTCTCCTTCCCATTTTTTCTTCTCTTTTACCATTTTTTCTAAATTTTCTATGAAACATAGTAATTAAAATAATAATTTCTATTTTTCTCTAATCTATTACCATGAAAAATAAAAATAAAAATAAAAATAAAAAGTTTTCCACAAATGAACTCCACCTTGTTTTTCCCTTAAAAATAGTGTGAAAAAACCTAGCTACATCTCAATTCTCAAGCTCTTGCTTCATCAACTATTCAAATATGCGTGAATTTGTAATAATATATGACATATTATTGTATTATTATTTATAATTTTTGTTATTTTAATTTCTCTCCACATTTTTAAAATAAAAAACCATAATTAATTGGTAATATTACTTGTATTTTACTTGTTTTATTGTGTATATTCTAAGTTAAATTAAAAAAGAATTTGTTTGAAAATTTTCAATATTCGAAGGCCTAATGGGTTGTTTCACCTTGAACTTCAGTTTTATTGCAATTTCATTTTATTTCGATTTCATTTTAATTATGACATTTTGCGACATTAACACCCTAAATTATAATCAGTGATTAATTTGCAAATTATAAATATATTCACGTGGAGCTCACTTCTCAACTCAAGTTAACTTAATTCAAAATCCTTTATTCACATAAAACTGTTTGTTTTAGCTAATTACACACTATTTTATTAACACGACAGAAAAACATTATATACCTACAACATTTCTAATTATCTGTGTCTACCCAATATAGATAATGTAAGATGATACGAATAGTGGATCTATGAATAATTGTTTGGAGGGTCAATATATAATATTTTCAAAAAGAGAGATCAAAATATAAACAAATTGAACTTTATGCATGAATCTTGATAATGTATATATTAAAAAAATCTAAAAGGGGTCAATTGACTTCTCTTTATACACGCGATTCCAACACTGCATAATACATTATAAATTTTTAACTAGCTAATAGAAAGTTCTCATATCCATTTCAAAAACAATAAATTTGAGCAATTTTTGCTTCAAGACGATTGATGAACATTTGTAAATCACCATAAAAAAATTTCTTTAAATTAAAAAATTACAAACAGTTGTATATAAGTTTCTTTAAAGCATATCATATTGGTAATGATAAAATACATACTTAGCAAAATGGTAGCAATGAAAGTATTCACGTCAGAAGCAACTCACATGCTAATTTTGAACATTTAGACAGTAAAAAACGTTGCAAGTATACAATGTTTTTCTCTCAAGTTAATGAAATAGTGTGTGATTGACCAAAATGAAAAATTTTTATATTGAATGAGAACTTGGGGTTAAGTTAACTCAAAGTGAAGTATGGACTATACATAAATGTATTTATAATTTGCAATTCAATCTATGAATGTAATTTGGGTGTTAATGCCACAAAAGTTCATAATTAGTGTGAATTGGCATAAAGTTGAAAATTGAACGAAATCGGAATAAAACTGAAAGTTTAGGCTGAAACGACCATCCTTTGTTACGCGCGGTTTTGGGAGATAGAACTGTAACTTGAGACAACTACTGGCTGACTTTAATTATATGTAAATTTTTAGGGACCTAAATGTAATTTAATTTGATGAACAAGTAATAGTTGCGCCCTGCGTATTCTTTCGGATATCTGTGAACCCTGCGCTTCTTCTTTCTCTCGCTGGAAAGCCCCCGCAAACGAGCTGCTTATTCCAACTTAAAGGTAAGAAATCTCTCTCTACTCTAGAAATTTTTTTACTTCCTACGAGCTTTTGGTTATATAAAAACCAATGGAAAAGAAGAGGGGAAAGGGGATTTCAAGTTAACTCTGGAAATAATTCAATGCTTCTTCAAATTTTCATTTAATTTGAAGATTAATTTCACTGCTCTTGTTCAACAAACCCTAAAAGATTACTTCTTTTGGTTGCTTTTTGGATTATCTCAATATTTGCCTATCTGCTAGGGATTGCTACAAAAATAAGAAGAAGTTGTGCAGAATCATGTCGTCATTAAGGAACGCTATTCCTAGAAGGACTCACAAGGAGCGATCTCAACCGTAAGTCGTTAAAAATCTCTTCTTGCCTAATTTTTTGTCTACTATTTTTTTGTTCTCATTTGTTACCTAAGTCAGGCAATCGAGAAAGAAGTATGGGTTTCTTGAGAAACACAAGGACTATGTCGTCCGTGCGAAAAATTTCCACAAAAAAGAAGAAACTTTACGGGTAGAGTAGATTTACCCTCTGTGTCTTTGTGCTTGTTGCTTCCATTGTTTCAGGTAAATTAGTAATCTCTGATTTGGTTTGTGTTGATTGATGGATTTTCCTTATGGATCATGCTCTGCAGAGACTCAAGGAGAAAGCGGCTTTTAGGAATCCTGATGAATTTTACTTCAAGATGGTTAAAACTAGGACTGTTGATGGAGTCCATAGACCAGAGTAAGATATTCTAATTTTTTCTTTTTCATTCTTATTTTATTTTGTTTCTTATTTTATTGGTGTTTAATTTGCTGACTCCCATTTTCCATAGGAGTCAGGCAAACAAATACACTCAAGAAGAGCTTATGTTGATGAAGACACAAGATATTGGATATGTTCTTCAGAAATTACAAAGTGAAAAGAAGGTAAGTGATTGGTAAAATTACTCTTTTGCATTTAGTTTCTGGTTAATTTGGATTTTGATTTTTAGATGACTTTCAGCTGTCTTAATAATGATCAAAATTCTGTTATTTGCTGCAGAAAGCTGAAAAACTGACTGCGGCATTGCACTCTCTTGATAGTCATCCATTAAACAGGCACATTTACTACGCAGAAGACAGGTTTGAGCTGATCTCTTCTTGTTCTATAACAATGGCTACCTCTTCACTGTTACGTGATTGAACACTGTTGTTTTTTTTTTTCCTTTGATGTTTATGTAGTCCAATATTTACTGGTTTATAATTACTTCTAATTGACGAACCCATAGATATTGTACATTCATTATGCACATATACATTTATATCACAGATGTTTGCTCTTTACATATTTGCATTCTTATGGAATTGGATGGACGTGTGTTATTCACTAGGATGGGGTTGAATTGAATTTTTTTTCTCCTTATGAAAGATGAATTATAAATGAAAATTACATGATGGATGGTGTTATGAGGCTACAAGTGACAGGTGGCTTTATTGCTAACTTTGGATTCATTTCTAACTTTCTATGGTTGCATACTCAAAAATTATCGTTGCTTGTTTGGCACCATTGTTATACTTGACGATTCCCTCTCGGTTAAATTTGGTAATCATTCTCTCAGTGCACTTTATCTGTCTAGTGCTTTAAAGTATTTCATTTTTACTCTTTCTTTTCAAGAAAAATTGAAATCCTCTAAACTTTGTGTTGAGTATTTTTTGTGTTTGAAATAATTTGTTGATGCGTTTGAAGTTCAAACATTGCATTTCTGGATGGGAATCTATGCAGTGTGCTTCTCCCTTCTGAAACTGTGATCTGGCAGTTTACTTTCGGGCTTTTTTCTTTTACTGAGCGAGTCATATTCCAATGTTTAGACTCGTGCCTATGTGTTTCTTTTGTCTGCCTTGCAGAGAGGAAGCTAAAGAATTAACATTACTGTCTTCAGAAAATAAAATTGTGACTGCTTCCGAGGATGTCCCTGATCACATTAAGAGGTAAAAATAACTTGTCTAGTATGATGTAAATCTCATTTCCCTAGAACAAATCCCTGTTACAATGTCTTCTCCCCACCACATGCACGCACAAAACAAGATGACAAAACTTATTGGTGGAGGGGGACTCCATCCCATATAAACTGCTCACTGGCAATAGCTTTTGCCAAATTAGTTGATAAATGTTTTGTATGAACTGTGATGAAAAGCTGAATCTATCAAAATAGTGCAATGGGTTTTGCTTCTATTGTTTTCTCCATGTATTAGGTCAATGGACATTCTTGAGTTTCTTATTTTAAGTTGCCATGTTAACCAAGTACTTGGGGCAGACAACTTTCTCTATCATCATGCCTGTTTTTAATTGTCACTATCTTTTATACATACAAGTGGCAAGTCATGGCAGGGGGAGGCTTCTTCAACAGAATTGCACCTCAAGTTCTCTTTCATACTGATGTGTGCCAATGGAATGAATTATCATTGAAAAACTAACTGAAATCATTGTATTGCTAGAGCTTTGTTGGGCTGAATGTATGTAGGACTCAAACCTTTATAGGGATGAAACTTGGAATCAAAAGTTTGGAACTTAAGATGGTATAAAGCAAATATTTTTTGTGCTAATACTCCATTAATATCATGCCAGAGGTAGGAACTTTTGGTAGATTATGGCTGTTTGGCTTGTGAGTTCATATTCTTGAAATTTGTCCTGTGGTGGTACCTTGAGAATTAGATTATTGATGATATTTAACAGCTGGCTTCTTATTTTATTTTATTTTTATCAAAACTTTGCCCTCCAACTCAAAACAGAAATGGTTTCTTTACTTACTATGTTCTTCCTCCACCCAAGACCCCAACCCAAAATATGTTTCTTTTTTTTTTTTTTTTTTGGGTATTCGGATGGAATGTTTATTGTATCAAAATCATTAAGCTACTAAACTTTTCCAACTGTGAGATAAGCGAATTGCATTAATGTTACTGCTGCTTATTTTTGCATCCAGGAAAACAGCCAGTTCCTATAGAGAGCTAGAGGCCCGGAAGAACAGAATTAATCAATTGGAGAAACTATATGCAGATATGGCATTGCAGAAAGAATTACAGGTACCTGTTCTTTTGGACTTCCCTTAATTTAACATGTTTGTTTGGTTACAAATTGAAGTTTAAAACAGGATACTTTGTAATAATCAGAAAAAGGGTCGAAAGCGAAAACTGCGCGAAGATGAGATTATTTGTCCAACTACCAAATCAGTATATAAATGGCGATCTGAAAGAAAGCGGTGAAAGGAATGTGCTAATCTTTCGCATCTCTGTCAACCAGTTTGTAAACTTCTGTTAGTTTTGTAGTTCTAAATTCTTCAGAAATTGTTAATTCTTTTGAATGAGGTAGAGAACACATCCTATTTTGAATCATACCCTTGTCAGCTACGAGATAATGACAGATGGAAATGTTACCCTTTAATCTATGACATATCTAGTTTTTTTTCTTAAATTTTTGACGTATGCTAGTAATTTGCATTCAGCTCCTTTGTAACTGGCAAACTAAGTTTCTATTCATATCCCATTATAGTTTTAAGAGTCATGGTGATGTATCTCATAATACTGTTTTAGTTCAAAGCTATGAACATGAAAAACTGAAAGGGTAAATACGTCTTCTTGACAGTTAATTTTTCTTTCAAGAGATTTGTGACAATCATCGTAAAGCAAGTGACCTTTGTTCAATGGTGTCCAGTACTTATTTATCACATATATGCAGCGGCAAGTTTAACGTCTTTTCTGTTAAACCTAGATGGAGGGGAACCGCCATTTCTGTTAAGCCTTTCTCATTTAGCATGAAGAGAACATGGAAATACCAAATCAAGTTGTTTGCTGGCGTGGCTCCACAAGAATGTACAATGGCTTCCCATTTAACCCGAGTCGCCCCTGTAAAAGTTACAATGTCCTTTCATATAATTTCATATTTGAGAAGTCATTAATAAACGAAGATTAGATCTTATAACTAATGTCTAGAATTATGAGAAATTAGAAGGGAAAAGAAGAAGCCGAAGTTTTTGAGAGGAGATAACGATGACAAATTTAGTTCCTTTTACCTTGAACTCAGGCAACCCAATAACACATGCACATTCAACAACTTCTGCACCAACGCGTTCTGGTCATTGGCAAATTCCAATCATATAAACCTTTAGCGAGGAACTGAAATGATGGCTCTTTGTTTGACATAAAATAAATTTGAAATATAATTTATTTACAGATGATAGAATTCTGTTGATTTTTATAAAATCAAATTCTTGAGAGTTAAATGTACATTTGTCGTTCATACTGAGAACGAAAGTACAAGAGGTGAAATCTGCAAAACTCTCTGAAATTTATAATACTGAGGACAGGGCTCACCTAATAATGTTATTGCTGCAGAAAGTGTTCCACCGGTGGCAACTAAATCATCAATGATTATGGCTCGTTCCCCATGTTTAATAGCACCAATATGTATCTCCAGACAATCGTTCCCATATTCAAGTACGTATTCTTCAGATATGACTTCTCCTGTATATAATTCAAATGTTAAAAGATTTAACGTACAAGTGGCAAGATTAAGTTAACCATTTTGAGGCTCTAACTTAACTTAGAGGATAGTTTTCATTTCCTAAATAAAGAGAACATGTACCAGAGTTTGTGTTTGATAATGCTAGAAAGTTGTATGGAAGAACATGCCTGGTAATTTTTTAGGTTTACGTAGAGGAACAAACTTAGCACCAATAGCTAATGCAATTGAAGGACCAAATATAAAACCTCTGGCTTCCACACCTTAAAAAAAAAGACATTTGACATTGTAAGAAACCATTAAATATTATGCAGAAAGAAGCTCAATATAGCACTATAACTGATAATTCAAGATTGGATTGTAGCTCTAGCAATTCATTTCCACAAGAAGCTTAATTTACCTTGAGTTATTGATAGTGAACAGGAGGAAAACTACTAATCAGTTTTGGCTTAGTGATGTTGGAGTTAATTCCAAGACTGTTAGGTTACAAGTCGAAAAATAGTCCAAGCCAAAATAACCAAAAAAAATATGACGAAAAAGCATACAAACTTCAAGAAAAAAAAAAAAAAAAAGAAATCCCAATATGACCCATTATGAAATACGGAGATCCCATTATACAACTTGTTTTAGATAAAGCCTTGACATGTTTATCCATTTCTTGCCAACTAAAAATGGCAGAACAAGAGCACCCGCAATTTTATTTAGCTATAGACAAAGAAAGATACCAACCAGCAACAACAGAGATAGCCATATCTCTATAGCGATCAATAAAAATATCCACAGTGTCTTTAAAAGTCTTGTGATCGAGTAGCAGTGTGGTTATGTCTTGAAACATAATTCCTAACCATAAAGAAGAAGAGAACACACAGAGACCAAAAAAGCTTTAGTAATAATATAACAACTTTTCAGTTGGGCACATTTACAAACATAAAATCTGCTTACTTTTTTGCTTCTGCAAGAAACAAAAGATAAGCACTACCTGGTTTAGGGAAGTGAGGGACTACTCTAATGGCATCTGATATGGCTTTCAATCGTGGGTCTCCTTGTAAACCATTTTCTCCTGCAAACATTTTCTCGAATGATTATAACTTTACTGTTATTTTCACCTTCTAATTAAACCAAGAAGAGAGTTGTTTCTTTTTACTACTGAGCAAGAAGATTGGCATTTAAGAGAGTGTATCTTTCTTGGCCTAAGCACCACTGAACAAAATCCAATTGGCATTTGTTCATTCCTCAATATTTATAGGCTCACAAGCTTATTTATTTTTATTTTCTTTTAAAAATAAATAAATAATACAGCTGGGAGCCCTTTTTTTTTCTTGATTTTCTTTTTCTTTTTGGTGGGAAGCAAGGAAGATACTTATATTTACAAACTCTTACCATATTTATGTAAATAACTTTCTTTTTTTTCTCTCTATCATTAGGAAGGGAAACATATTATTTCAAATCTAACATTCAGTAATTATATATAATTCTTAAAATGTAATTATTCCAAAGTACTGGATTTTTCTGAATTTTGCAATTACAAGGGCTATAGTGAAAAATGTCACCAATTATTCTAAAAAGGAAAAAAAATACGTCACTAATAGTTTAATTTCTCATGCAACAAACACTCGTACTGTAACAATAGAACTTTATAGTGACGTGGCAGAGTTTAATTGGGAAATGTGAGTCCCCTCTATATGAATGGTCAGGATCAAAATTCAGACAGTTTTTATTAATCCTTTGGTGTAAATTAATTCTATTCTGTTAGCAGAACCTAAAGTGAGAGAAATGATTATATTGTTACGAAATCAGTGAACTCGCAATGGCAAGTGATGTCATCAAAATGGAGCAACAAAAATCGAAAGAAGATTCGTATGGCCCACGAAATGACCGCACCTGATCCGCTATCAAAGGGCATGCGTGTATACTATTTTGTGATCCGTCATCACAAGATTATTTGTACGTTTTTTTGGGCCCCGCACTATGTGGTCGGTGAGCACTGTCCTCCATTTCATTTAAATGGAAAAAGTTCCAACCAAAAATTAGATTATGTTTAGAATTTTCACTTTAAATTTTTTAGTTCGGTTCATATCACACATCTATCAAGCACAAGGGAATAAAAAATTCGACCAGCTATTTAAAGAATTCGAGCAATTTTCGTTGTTCAATTTATATTATTTTAAATCGGGTAAACCTAATTATTAATGTTATGAATAATTTAGTTTATTTAATTTTTGAAAAAATTTCAACTAAATTGAAATAAATAGATCAATGGACACCAGATACCTTAGGCTTTATCTTCCAATACCATCACCATCCAATAAAAGAGTCTCTTTCCCACTTAATTTGACGGGGCCAGATTTTTCAAAACACTTGAAATGCAATCTCTACCGACCACCATGCACCATCTAATTGTTAGGATCATGCACGATTTCAGTTTTCTTTTTGCTTCCAAGGAGTAGCAATTTTTATTTTTATTTATAGTTTTTCTTTTCCTTTCTTTTTTTTTTTTTTTTCAAGATCATCAATAGGACATTGTGAAAATAATAACAAAGGATCGATATAACCAACTCTAGTTCATATAATTATTTTAAAGTTATATTTAAACCTCAATTGGATTAAAATATCTTTAATTTTGATAAAGGCATGCATCTTACAATCACCAACCAACAATTTGTGATGGTTCTTTCTCCAACAAAAACTTTCCATCTCTAATTTCACGTGTAGAGACTTTTATATGAAAAGGCCATAATTGTAATCTCACACCAAATATTTTTCTTTTATGACATTCTTGTACTTATTACAAGACATTAGATGTTCAATCCCTTGTGAATATGTTCATGGGATTTATTATATGATTTAAAATGATGTAACACAATTTGTTTAGGGTGCTTGGAATTCTTTCATTTTGTTTTAATTGCTATGATGTCACTAAATTTGAACTTCAATAATTGAGTACTCTATAATGAGTACCAAAATATAATTAAAGGATCAAGAATTCAATTTCTAACATTTATCTTTCGATTTTTTCTCATATTTGAAAATTTATAATGATAAGAGAATGTGCATGTGATGGAACAACATAATTTATAAGGTGGTTAGAGTTTAAATATTATTATTTTAATACTTTAATGCGTAATTGAAAGTCAATTAAAACGGAGAAGATGTATCAATTTTAGAGTCTCAAGGCATCAAACTTGCCATTTGGGCTGAAAATCAATATGTTAATAACATCAAATCGTTCTACTATTATATATAGGAAAACAAGAAATCGATCTGAAATACTTGCTTTAATAAATTCTAGCATAAAAATAAATCAAGGAAGTTGGTATAGAAATAGCATATTGATAATTTGTTTTGGAAAGAACTATTAATTTAGCTTTAGCAACCCATAACAAAAAATAATTTATATTTTCATAATATTGGGGACAATTATCAACATGATATCCTTGAAGATTTTGGTAGGTCCATGAACCCATAAGGTTTCTTGTTTTATAATTCAGTTCAAACCCATTATGCTTACTTATTCTCTCTTGGTTTCTAAACAAATTTAGCTAAAAGACATTAATCATTTTGGACTTATAAGATACCCTCTTTATAGGAATTTGGGATTGTAATAATTCCATTTCCCTTCTACCTTATGTTACTCATAAGATATAAAAAATGAAAGTTGAAATATTCTGATGTCAATGTAACCGAAAAGGAAATGTAAAATTAGGGTTAACATTAATCCTTGCTTTGACAAATGAGTGATTGGAAAACAAAAAGAAAAATCCAAGGCTATCTTTAGTTCTCATCCTTCACTTGGGTTTGTACGTTTGTGAATTTATGGTCAATTACTAGAGAGCATTCAAGATTACGAACACTTCTTTTATTTACTATGAGGTAGATTGTAATACGTAACACTAACAAAGACAACTTCAAGATTACTATTCTTGTTACTTCATCAATAAAATTAGTGGGGAGCACTATATGAATATTAGAAATCTTATGAATATATTAGGAGGATATGGGAGAGTGCGTTCTCCGAATGACTTTAGCTTTTGATCCTAAAAATACTCTTTAATTATGAGTGCTAAAGAGTAAATAATAGAGATCTAAATCTATAAAACTATGCCCAATTCCATATATTTAGTAATGTAGGAAAGAAGTTGTGAGATTTTCAAACTTTACCCTAATAATAGAATTAGTATTTACTTGACAAATGGTTCTTTTCGTTATTTAATCATAAATCACTGAAATTAATTTTGAAATTAAAAAACTTGTTTAATATTAGTGAAAAATTAGTAATTTAATGACAAATTTTTTGGTCATTTTGCCTCTAGAAGTGAAAATGGGGTGGATTTTATGGAATGTCTAAAAATAACCAAAGTACCCCTATGTTTCTTGGAGTGAGATGTAATTATTAATTAAGCATTGGTAAGTTTATTCTAGATGGCAACTTGACAAGTTGACATTAATGCTTACGAAAGGAGAGGCAATCTATAGAAATTTCAATATAGGATCACACTGATTTTTCTGTTCTCCAAAGAAGATGTCAAGTTCAATTTTATTAATCCATCAATAATAAATATTTGCAGTAGGAGCATCTTCTTCGAAAAGAATATTTGCGATTGGTGGATGCAACCAAGCTGTATTACCACTACCCTGGCCATCGCCAGATCTTTGGCCCTTCCTCAGTTTTGTGCTTGCTCCTCGTCCGATGGAAATGGTTAGCTTCATGGCTGTAAATAAACCTAATGCAATTACAAGTGGTCTTACAGCCCAATGAAAATCCTCAAGATGATAATATTTCTCCACCATTCCAGGACAAGAATCGAAAGACACTAATTCCACTTCAGCTGGATCTGCTAGGAAGCTATTGGATTCATCTCCAAACACAAACCTCCCTGGAAAACCTACAATAAGACACCCATTTGGAAGAATTTGTGAAATTCTACCAGTGGACCATTCTCCTCCTCTTTTACGAGGCCAATCAAACCGGGGATTAGCTACATTGACCTTCAGCCTCACAAATTGCCCCACACAATAAGCTTTAGCCATTTGAAGCTCCGAACAGCTATCCATCCAAAGAGTCTTTAACCCTACAAATGCTGCTGCCATATATCCATCGCGCTGTACAGAGTGCAGAATTCCCACAGGAGAATGCTTGCTTTGTTTGTTCTTTAGACGCACCCAATCTCCTACAGCAAAGCCAGAAGTGACCCTCTCAAGTTTTGACTCTTGCACACTTAGAGGGTTCTGCAGTCCAGAAATTTTTACCAGCACAATGCGATTTCTATCTGTGTCACCATCGAGACCAACCACAATTCCTATCGGGACATCCATGTTTTGAGGTTTGCATGAGTTCAGTGGTTTTCTTGGACGGACCGTGTCACCCACTTGAAGATGATCTTTAGAGAGATACCATGAAGTATAGCCACCAAAGCTTGAATTTTTTGTCGGACCTCTGCTTTTGAGATGGGTCCACGCCCCATCTCTATTAACGGCATTCAGAGACCTGGAAGTTTAAAATGCAATTTATCAAAATGTAGACCAAAAGAAACGAACATGGAAAGAATAGAGAGTGAGAACTAAAGGCAAAGGAGCGTTAACAAATTTCACAAGAAACCAAAATATGCAAGTGTGTATTTTGCACAAGAAATACTCTTAAGTATTTGAGAAATTCATGGATAAATGAAATTCAAAATCTTTTTATATCTGATAAAATTATTTAAAAGAGTTTAAAGTATTAAATATAAAGTTAAAACAGTCCTTTACCCAAATAAAAGAGGACTACTATCAGATGTCCTTTCTTCCTCATTTGCAGGAATAACAAAATAAGTAAATAAACAAATAAAATAGAGACAATATGTAAGAGAGGTCACCTATAAAAAAGAGAAACAAGAGTAAGATTAAATATCCCTTATAGGACTACCATATTTCTGATACCACATACAACGGGAAGATTCTGTTTCAAATCATGTTTGACAAATAAACAACACCAACTATATCCAGAACCTATAATACAAATTGATGGACTAGCGCCCACTTAGTTATGCATAAAACGGAACAGAAACAAAGAATTCATATAGCAGACTCCAACTAGTTTTGGATTACGGCTTAATTGCTGTTGTTGTTGTTGTAACAAAGTAATGTCAACTGGACAGTGACACATCAGCTCATAGGATCCAATTACATCAGGATTCAACTAACGATTTGATATAGGCACCGATCTCGTTAAGCAAATTGTAACCAAAAGCTAATAAAAGAAAAATAGGAAATACCTCTGAAATACAGATAATATATCTTCCATCAAAGGTCGGTTTCGCAGATCATACTCAAAGCAACCATTAATAACATTCTCAACATCAGGAGGCAGGCCACTTGGAACCTGTGGTTTTTGTTGCTTGACCACAACTGACTGATATATTTCTTCAACAGATTTTCCAAACCAAGGTCGGACACCAGTCAACATCTCCAGTATGCTACACCCAAACCCCCAAGAATCCGTCTCAAAAGATATAGGACCTCGCACTTCAGGTTCCCACTGTTCTGGGGCCATATAATTGGGTGTTCCAAGTATTAAAGCTTTCTCAGAGTTCAACATCTCAAGCAGTAGATAAGGGATACCAAAATCTCCAAGGACTGCTCGATCATGCTCATTAAGAAGGAAGTTTGAAGGTTTAAGGTTCAGTACAGGCAACCCAATTGAGTGCAACTCTTGGGTTCCATTTGCCAAATCTATCCCATACCTGTAAATATCAGCAAATCTTGCAGATAAGAATTACTCTAATCATAATGCCAAAAAGATAAAAGTCCAAACCATCACCTCAAAACGTCTGGCAATTGAAGCTTGCGCTCTTTCAACAAAGCTATCCGATCAGCAACTGATCCTCCATAAAATTTCATAGCAATACAGATCTACCACATATAAAACAAGCTATCATCAAAATAGAGTTTGAGAGCTGTTATAGAAAACAAAAGATCCGAAATCCCAGAAATATAAAGCAAAACATCACTAATGAAATTGAAATACATTCCAACATTGCAGGTAAGAAAGACTATAACTACTAGCCAGGAAGTCACCTTTCCATTCATAATTGAGACACCATGCAACCAACCAACGCCTAAGATCTCTCGGCACTTCAAAAATAACCTCTCAAACTTGTACACAAATGTTTGAGCGATGTCCTTCTTCAATGGATGTAACATCTTAACAGCCACTTCATGACACTCATCAAAATCATCAGCTGACTGACGATGAATTGCTAACCAAACATCTCCAAAGTTGCCCCGTCCAATCCTGTGCTTTAGTTTCAATTCAGTTGCTTTAATCCATGGTGAAATCTGGGTAGGAGTAGCAACGACCGTTCTTAGATGGTCAGCATCTCCTTCAAATAGCTCATATTCAAAGGAAGCAGCTGGCTTGGGCACTTTAATCTTTTCAGCCATTTTCCATAACCTATTGGATAAAAAAATGTCATGTGATTGGGAATTCGTCGATATTCTTAATAACACTATCCCTGTACACATATACTACTAATGCTAACAGGAAATATAAGCGAAGACTTAAACCCACTACTAGAATCAGAATTTTTAAACCTATATTCAATTAAAGCTTCAATGATTAGGAATTTTAACACCCAAGAACCAACAATTAGGTTTATTCAAGCCAAATCAAGGAGCAACACATTTGAAACTCTCATTGATCAATATGGTAGTCAAAGATCTAATTGTATATAGAAGGCTCAAATATAGACGCAGAAAACTACACACGTAGAGAGAGTTTTAACATGGAATTAGCCTGTTTGGCCGATAGGAAAAGAGAGGAGGAGGAAATGTTCAAGCGTAGAACTTGAATCAGAATCGAAAAGAAAGTTTAGAATTTTGAATATTTCAAAAAATAACTTTCATTCTCGAGAACCAAGGGCGGACAAAAACGTAAATAGGAGTATCGGTTTATCAGCTGAGACATGGACAGAGAATTTTAGATACATCCATGATCTCAATCAAAATCACAAAAATCTTATTATTCTTACATTACAGTACTGTAGTAAATTTTGATCCAATAACCGCGTGGAAGATATAAAGTTCAGTATGGCTGGACCACTGGCTTGCACGTCGCCACACCACAAAGATTCGATCACACTGTTGATGACTTGATGTTATTGACAGATAACATTTTTTTTTTCTTTTTTCTTTTTCCTTTTTGAGGGAAGATTATCATTATCAAGTAAAACTTATTACTTAAAAGTTTATATCTGAGTATTAAAAAAGTTTTATTATTATATTTACCTTTGATTATAGCTATCTAATCTAGTCTAGATATAGGTAAAGCTGAAGCAAAATCTGAATCGACACTCTATCTTTTTTTTTAATATTCTATTCTATTTTTTAGAAAATTTTTTATTTTTTCTTTATTTTCTAGTTCTATGTTATGATGGGATGATTATGTATTTTTTTTATTTTAAAATTATTATCTACTAACATTTTGAAATAATTCAATTACTAATAGTAAAAATGCGCTTCGCGCGGTTATAAATACATTGTTTAAATGATATTGTTATTTATTTTGATTAATAATATTAATAATTAACATGTATTTTTTTATTTAAAACTTAACCACATAAAATGTCATTCTCCTTTTTTAATTACTATAAAATAATAAATAAAAAAAAACCAAAAAGAACGATATTTCAAATAGACAGATAAAAAAATTAAATTAATTGAAAAAAAAGGCTGTCACTACTCATGATATTAAAAACAACATATTTAAAAGTTGCAAATTTGATTTTATGTGTAACATGGTCTTACTCCAATTGGTTGAAAATTTTTCTTTGCTAAAAAAAAATAAATAAAAGATTCAAAACAACATAAGTATTAATATATAATTTAAAAAATTATATCATTAACAAATAAATTTTGTTATTGATTAATTATAGAAGAATAGCTCAAAAGTTTAATTTAACATTTTGTAAATTATTTTGTAATTTTCTTTTACTATTCCAAAAAGTAATTTAGAGATGATATCACATTAAGTTGGATCTCAAATTATATTTACAGATATTGTTTTATTTTAATTATTATTTAATAAATGGAGACTTTTATGAAGAACGAACATCGAAATGTTTAATCAAATAATATTGGAAGCAAAAGATTTTTCTCAAATTCATAAACAGATAGAGATGAGATTATATTCAAAAATTGGCTAAAAACAAATTCGATTTAATAAAAATAGAATGAGAACGAATATTAAAATTGAAACCAAACAGTTAATTTTATTCTCAAAAGGAAAAAATAAAAACTAAAATTCAAGTTAATATTTTTTTTCAAATAATAAAATGTCATATCAGTATAAAAATCAAAGTTTTTTAAATATATATTGTTCCTTGTGAACCAAATATGTAAAAAATGATGATTCTATTCAACAATTGAATTCCATTCAGTTCCCAGTTGAACCAAACATGACCTATATGACAGAAAAAAAAAATAGAAAAAAAAAGGAATTAAGTGGAGGAAATAAAGGAGCTTCAAGGATGATATATCTAGCAACAAGTAATAGAGAATATAACAAAATTTCAATCTAACTGCTCTGCCTAATCATCACGGTCTTGTATTAAGAAAGCTAAAGATGGCAGTCACAGTCAACAATCCTAGAATTGAGTTTAAATTCTATCACATATCTTCTATTAGCCTTGAAGTTCTATCATCCTGTGTCCACCTCCTAAGCACTGAAAGGCAAACCTCGAAGGCCGACTTTGGCCTTGTGTCCCTTTTCTTGGAGCACCCCGTAATCTAGTATATGATAGCCAACCTTTCAGGAAGTGAGCTAACTTGAATTCTGATGTTTTCCCCTCGTCTTCGCAAAGGTAATTGGAGTTGTAATCTTGGTTTTCATTATTGTTGTCACTATGATCCACAGTACTGTCCTTTTCTTCCTCTTCGCGAACATCTCTTGACAATGGCCTTATACCAAAAGCTATCAGTAATACGAATCAATGCATTAAATATTGAATTAAAAAATTTGGGCAGCTAATATCCAACATAAAATCATCTATCTAAAGGTGTTTTTATCAATCTTATTATCTTATATTTCAAATGGTTCAATACATTTGGTCGTTTAGTGGCATGATCCCTATTTCAAAATTAAAGTTCAATCTAGATGTCCATGAAAGCAAGTTATACAGCAAGCACGGGACAAAGGAAGAGGGAATTCTTGGATAGATCATGGTCCGCCATGGAGCATCTCAATATGGTGGGTCCAAATCCCATGTGATACAGTCCATGACGGACCATGATTTAGGCAAGAAATTTCCAAAAGGACGAATTTGCTGCGGAAGCATATTGCAGAGTTAGCTAGTATTTTCAGGTTTTCACTACCACCAATGCCTCATCTGACAAGGTCTTTAGCCAGAGAACTCTTACTTTTTCTGGTTAGATCAGAACTCCCCCCCCCAATCCCCATCCCTTCTTATAACTGACAAGCTAACTGCATTTGTTCAAGTTGCTTGTATATATCTTTAGCCTGAACTGTCGGCAGCTTCAAATTCAAAACATATCACATGCTTAACATATATAACCATGATAAAGAACATAATCAAAATACTCACGCCGAGTATGGTTTGCAAGCAACATGTTGGCTCCTAGACCTTCTTTTTGAATGCGAATAGTTAACAGACACATGCCTAACAAATTGAAGCTGCAAGAATCACAAAATATGAAGAAGCTAGATATGAAGAAATGATTCCAAAAAATAAGTATAAAGCATATCCCAAGAGAGAATAAGAAGTAATAATAGAAGGCTGCAATTCATATATGGACACTGGACACAAGAGATGCAATACTTACTACCTTTTTTTCTTAGTTTCTCCATTTGTCTTTCATCTCTTTTCCACTCTCGCTTTAGGTAATAGGATGGGGAAATCAAAGAAACATATCACAGAAAAAAAAAAAAAAAAGCAGCAAGCTAACTGCATTTGTTCAGTTGCTTGTATATATCTTTAGCCTGAACTGTCGGCCAGCTTCAAATTCAAAAAACATATCACATGCCTTAACATATAAATAACCATGATAAAAGAACATAATCAAAAATACTCAACGCCGAGTAAATGGTTTGCAAGCAACATGTTTGGCTTCCTAGAGCCCTTTCTTTTGAATGCGAAATAGTTACAGACACATGCCACAAATTGAGCTGCAAGAATCACAAATATGAAGAAAGCTAGATTATGAAGAAAATGATTCCAAAATAAGTTATACAAGCATATCCCAGAGAGAATAAAGTAATAAAGAAGGCTGCAATTCATATATGGACACTGGACACAAGAGATGCAATACTTACTACCTTTTTTCTTAGTTTCCTCCATTTTTTGTCTTTCATCTCTTTCCCAACCTCTCGCTTTAGGGTAAATAGGATGGGGAAATTCAAAAGAAACAATATCACAATGAAAAAAAAAAAAAAGCGAGTAAAAAGTGGTCCCGAGTCAAATCCAAAAAAAAAAAAAAAAAAAGCAGTAAAAGTGGTCCCGAGTACAATCCATTCACCTACACATAACCCCCTTAAGCTTTGTTCTGCATATTTACATGTGATCAGCATCAATTCAACCATCAAAACTGCACAAATAATGACTCCTCCGATCTCCAACATTGATCAACTACTCTATTACCAAAAGCACAAACAATGCAGATAAATTTGAATACTCTAGAAGGAGATGGCCAAAGAGGAAATGCAATGCTGGTTAGGAAGACGGTGACTAGAAAGTGGGGGAAAACATTGCAATGACACAGAGAGGATAACAGCAAGGATTGTTATTGCTTTGTTCAACATTTTTAAAGAAATCCTCCTTATGCAAGTTAAACAACGTATGTAAATGTAAAATGTGTGCAACGAGCTTTAGCTAATTGTTAGGTTCAATATCTCTCACGTCTATATCAAGTCCTCAACTAAGTTCTTTCAAACTATACATGCTAAAATAAATCAAAAAAATAGAAAATACTGGTAAAAAAATAACCTGATCACCATCCTTGATCCCAATTTTTTGAATGCAAGCTTTATCATTAACTAGCCTCTGCCCTTCATAGCTCAAGCAAAAATGGCCCCAGACATGTGACCTGAATGCAATATTCACAAACCACCAACATTGAATAACAAACCCCAAATCTCAAACAATTAACTCAAATTAGCCAAATCCACATAGCACAATGTCTCTATACAAAAAACCAGCCAAGAGTAATTACCAGGAAATCTTTCCCTCATCTTCCTTGGGTGATGAAGTAAAAACTTCCTCCACCGCTTGTTTGAGTTCTCCCACCGTAGCATTTCTCCCAACATGAACATCTATGTATAACCAGTTAATTAGCAAAATAATCTCATAATAAAAATAAAATTTCTCCTAAAATAAGAATTTATTTTCCAAACGTGATTAACAAATAGTTAAATTTACAGAATGATTACCAAAAGAAGAGCCATCAAGCTTGAGGACAGTAAGCTGGAGGAGATGCTGCGGTAGCTTATGATAGGAGCGAGTCCGTACAAAGAGCCTGTCAATGCCATAAACAACGACGTTGTCATCATTGTCGTTCAGTGTTAGCGGAGACAAGCAGCGTCGGTCTATAAGAGACCTTAAACTATCATCTTCATCATCAGAAATAGAAAAATCGCCATTAGCATAGCTTCTCTGTTTTCGATTAAAAATTCTTCGCATGTTAAATTACAAATTAATTTTCCTAGGATTATGTTTTGATAGAAAATAATCAGATTTACAGAGAGAGAAGAAATTTAAAGAGAGTGAGAGAGCTTACATGGAGTGGGAGTGTTCTTTGGGAGAAGAGAAGGTGAGAGAAAATGGAGGGGATTTGTTGGTTGGTTTTGGTTTTTGCGAGAGGAGACCGTTACTCGGGATTTCTGTTTCGGGAATTTGGCTGCACTCGCGCAGGTTTATTCGCTATATTTTATTGACACCTGGACATATGGGCCATTGAGGTAAAAATGGTGTATGGCCTGAGATCGACAAACGGGTGAATTTCTGATCATGGGTCGCTCGAGCTTTTTTGCCCTCCTCGTAAAATGATTTTCCCTTTCTCTTTTCCTTTTTTTTTTTTTTTAATTTTTTAATTTTTTGCTTTGTGATTACTACGAAATAACAACAACAACCAAAAAAAAAAAAAAAAAAAAAAAATAACAACAAACAACCAAAAAAAAAAAAAAAAAAAAAAAAAAAAAAAAAAAAAAAAAAATTTTGGCCATTTTTATAATTTTGACTTTTTTTTATTCTATCAACAATAGAGAACTAATTTTCTAAAAAAAAGAAAAAGAAAAGAATCGATGGATACTTAATATTTTATTTTTCATAATAATTGTGATTTTTGTATGACTTCTGTTCAAATTCAACTGAGCAATTATTAAAATTAATATATTAACGATGCTAAAAAATTCATAAATAACATATTAAATCTAAACCCTTTTATTTTATTTGATTGGTTTAATCACTTGTCATTGAATTATAAATTTAACTACTTTTTCAATTGAATTGTTAGTGAATTACTTAGGTAATGTAAATATGTAGATGAGTTTACATATGGAATTTATAATTATTATAAATAATTATAACTAATAAAATAAAATAAAAATTATTATAAATAAAAAATAACTATCAATTTAACAAGTAAATTAATTGAATTTAGATTATAATCATATGGAAGTTATAATTATTATAAATAGTACATTCAAAAAATCATTTGATAAAATTAAAATAATTAATTAAAATTACGAAGTATAAGAACAAAAGGTTTTTTTTTTTTTTTTTTTTTTTTTTTTTTTTTTTTTTTTTTTTTTTTTTTTTTTTTTTGCTTTCAGCTTTTTATTACTAACCTGTTTTATTTATTTGAATAATAAATACTTTTTTTATTAGGCACTCTACCATGTTTCGCACGATTGTATAGTTTTTTTTTTCGAGAAGAAAAAATAATAATAAGAACATGATATAATGATTTTATTAGTAATTAAGTTAATTATATAAAAAATGATGCTTTTGATATAGTGGTAGGACAGTTCTAATCACAGAGAGTCTTAATATATAATTACGACTAAATGTATAAATTTATTCTTATATTTAAAAAACATTATAGCACTTTTAATTTTTATTTTAATTCATTGAATATTTTAAATATATAAAATTACACTGATTAAATATTAATAAAATTATAAAATTTTTCTATTTAGCACTCCAATCGATAAAAATTGATTAATTAAATATATTAGATAATTGAAAATGTAAAAATTATTGTTTCGAATTGTAATAATCACACATCAAATCAATATTTATGTATAAAAAAAACTAGAAAAAAAAAAGATTGTTGTTAGTGTGAAGAGATACACATACTTATTAAAATTCATAACTTTTAAGTTCCAATATTAAAGGTGCCAGAAACTTTCCTTTTTTTTTTATATTATTTACTCATTAAGATACTAAAAGTTTTTAATTTAATGAACAATTATAAGTTATTATGAAAAATTTAATTATTTACATATCTAAATTTAAAAATCTTGCAAATATTTTGAAAAAAAAAAAAAACAAGGAAACAAAATGAGACAGAAAGAGTATATAATAGTAATTTAGTCGATGGTCATAAATAATTCACATCATACTTCAACGAAACTGGGCCTGATTAACAATGGGCTTTATTTTAATTGGGCCTTCAATTAAACAGACAAAAATCTTCCTTTCATTTAAAGGCGGTGCTCCAGCTTCCTTCACAGCCCACTCATGGTCCACCGCCACACTTATCAGCAGCGAAAATATATATAAGAACACAAGACCGAAAATATCCTCAACATTTCATTTTTTTCTCTGCCCGCCCTCTTCTAACAAACGACACTCACTGAAGCGGAAACAGATGCAGAGCGGGATAGAGCTAGACCTTCGCCTTAGTTCTCCAAAACCCTAAAACCCCAGAAACTGCTACCGTTAAAGCGTTTCTTCAAGACTGACGTATAAGCATACATACATAAAAGAATTGTATATACAGATCGGTTGGTTGGTAACTCTTATTGCGATTTTAGGATTTTGTGTTAGATCCTGAATTAAGCAATATGTGGAACAACAATGGAGAACAGCATATTGCACCGCCGGGGACGGTTGGACCGTCTATACCACCACCTCCTGTACCAGCACAGCCGTCCTATACTGTGCTTGCACCGCAAACGCCTCCGACTCCCGCTGAGGCGGAGGCGAAGTTGGAAGAGAAGGCTCGTAAATGGCAGCAACTTAATACTAAGAGATATAGCGATAAGAGGAAGTTCGGGTTCGTTGAGACGCAGAAAGAGGATATGCCGCCTGAGCATGTCAGGAAAATTATCAGGTGGGTTTTTAGGGTTTTTGTTGTCTGATGAATAGAGAATTTTGTAGGCGATGTTTGTTGTCTGACTTTCAGTTGTGTTTCTGGTTTAGCTCTGTGTTTTTGGCGCTGGTTTTATTCATTTCTGTTTTTTCTCGGCTTTGAACAATTTGGTGAGTTTTTTCCCTCCTTGTAAACCTTTTGGTCTATCTAGTGGGTTTTCTCTCCCACTCTTTCCTTTTCCACAACTAGTCGTATTTTTAGTTGGAGTTTTTGTGTTTCATTTCTTAATTGGGTCGGCAGAGTTTCCCCTTTTCCATTATGTTTTGGGCGATTTCCATTACCTTAAAGTTTTTTTTTTTTTTTTAAGAAAAACTATTCTAATTGGTGCGAAGTGAGCTTCTTCTTTTTAAGTTCTGCAAGCAGTACTATTGCTTTCGTCTGACCGATGGAATATTAGAATTATCTCTTTCTAGCTTAACTGCTGACATCGCATTATACAGAGGAATACTACAAATAAGTGCCTGTGTTTCTAATATATAAGTTTTGTTGATTCTGGTGTGTAAATGAGATTGCTGTGAAGTGTGATATTGGCGATCCTGATGGTTATCGGACGTGTGTCTTGATGAAACTCTTTTATTAACTTCATTAAGATGGTAAAAAAGTAGTAAACCTGATTTGTTAATTTTGTTCTCGTGTTCTTTTTGACAGAGACCATGGGGACATGTCCTCCAAGAAATATCGTCATGATAAACGAGTGTATCTTGGAGCTCTTAAATTCATTCCACATGCAGTTTACAAGCTTCTTGAGAATATGCCAATGCCATGGGAGCAGGTTCGTGATGTGAAGGTTTTATACCATATCACTGGGGCTATCACTTTTGTGAATGAAATACCATGGGTTGTTGAACCTATTTACTTAGCTCAGGTATTGACTCTCACTCTGTGCGTGGATATGGGTTGTACATGATTGATTTTTTTGTCTTTTCAGATCATTTGAGTGTTAACTTGTCATGTATAGACTATTGGCTGTTGTTACTTCTCCTTATCATGACTTTGACTTCCATTTTTTTTATGCAGTGGGGTACAATGTGGATCATGATGCGAAGAGAAAAGAGGGATAGGCGGCACTTCAAGAGAATGAGGTTTCCACCATTTGATGACGAGGAACCTCCATTGGACTATGCTGATAATTTGCTAGATGTTGATCCTTTAGAGCCTATACAACTGGAGTTGGATGAAGAAGAAGACTCTGCTGTATACACTTGGTTTTATGACCATAAGCCCCTTGTCAAAACAAAGCTCATTAATGGTCCAAGTTACAGGAAGTGGCATCTCTCTCTTCCCATCATGGCAACTCTTCATCGTCTTGCAGGACAGCTACTGTCTGATCTAATTGATCGCAACTATTTCTACTTGTTTGATATGGAATCCTTCTTTACAGCTAAAGCATTGAACATGTGCATCCCTGGTATGCCCTACATTTCTGTTTTCATGTGTTTTCTGTTTGTGAATAGGCATTTGCAACTATATGTTCATTCATATATGTGTATCTTTGCTCTTAAGGATATGATTTTTACACTTTAGGGATTGATTATCATTATACAAAGTGAAAAATGATGGTTAGACTTCCCGATTATCTTATTATGATTTGGAAGTGTTAAAATATTTGGTCTTATTTTCATAATTTTTTCTTTTGATAATCATATGAGTTAGTGAAGTAATGTTCATATAACCATAGGATTGGTGCTGGTTACCAGTCAGTGCAGTAGATTCTTCTAAGATGGAGTTGCTGGTTAAGCTGTTGCCTATGGTTAATTTAGATTACTTGATAGAATTTTAGTTATTTTTTTATTATTCTGCTGGTTTACTGTGGTCCAAAATTGGGCTTTGTGAAATGCCTTGCTTAAAACTTTTCAATTGTGCTACTGTGGCATGTCAATATATTCAATGCTAAAATTGCTTTGTGAAATACCTTGTTTAAAATTTTCAAATGACCTCATATACTTTTGTCCTCATGCAGGTGGGCCTAAGTTTGAACCTTTGTACCGTGACATGGAGAAGGGGGACGAGGATTGGAATGAGTTCAATGACATTAACAAACTCATTATTCGGTCACCTCTCCGAACGGAGTACAGGATTGCATTCCCTCATCTTTATAACAATAGGCCTAGGAAAGTAAAACTTGGTGTTTATCACACTCCCATGGTCATGTACATAAAAGCTGAGGATCCTGACTTACCTGCGTTCTATTATGATCCATTGATACACCCTATAACCTCCACTAACAAGGAACGGCGTGAAAAGAAAGCTCATGATGATGATGAGGATGATGATTTCCTTCTGCCTGAAGGGGTGGAACCTTTGCTACAAGACACCCAACTTTATACAGACACAACTGCTGCTGGAATTTCCCTGCTATTTGCACCACGACCTTTTAACATGAGGTCTGGTAGGATGCGGCGGGCAGAAGATATACCCCTTGTGTCTGAATGGTACAAGGAGCACTGGTGAGATTCAAATTTCTCTGCTGCTTTTTCACATGTGACTTATCTCATTTATGTATTATGTACTGAAACTGTTTTTATTTGGTTTTGGTTT